TCATAGGGAGACCCTGCAGGAGTAAAGACAGAGGCAAAGAAGGCATTCAGCACCTCTGCCTTCTTTATATCCTCTGTCACCAGGGCTCCCACCTCATTCCTCAGTGGGCCAAAATAAACTGAGGAAAGCTTCAGGTTAAGTTGTGAATCTACATCTGCATGTAAATAATATATTTTAGTTCATGTCAGGTGTATACAGCTAGCTGAATCTTCAGGACACATGCAGGATGGTTGAATTGAGTTATTTCAGTTAAACTCTGACCAGAACAGTTGTCCTAACAACCAGTTTTATTGAAGATCATGTACTCTGGAAAATGAGTGATCAAAATGACATTCCTCATCATTCGTAAGACAGTGAGCATCTTTCCTGGCTTGCTAAATCAGGTTTGCACTGATTTTCTTGGTAACGAAGCAGATACAAACTTGTCTAATTACCAAAGTGGGTACCCTCCCTGCTCAGTGCTAAGTGTTCTTCCATAATGATAGGATTAGTGTATTGGCTTGTTTGTGTTTATTCTGTTATGGAAGCATATTTGGGCAGTGAAGGAAAGGTTTTGTCTTTGGAAACTTATTAAAAGTTTGTGTCACCAAGAAGCATGAATGAAGTTTCTCTGAACTGAACCAGGTACAGAACCTGTAATGAACAGTGGCAGGAGTGCTTTTACACTTCTCTGGATCTCTCTGTTCCTATGTCCTCAGAGCATACATTACAAGAACACTGATTTTTGTAACATTAGAGGACTTCACTCTGAATAAGAACTCATCCATATTTCCTTGCAACTGTGGGGTTCTCCAAATTATGGGGTTGTGGTTTATTTCCCCATGCCCATGTCCAAGACTCAACACTTAAGTCCTTTCTGAAGGTACATCACCTGTGTCCTACTGATGTGGTTTCTGCTAAAGAAAGTCCAAGAACACAGGCCAGAAGCATCCCACAGTCTGCTCCAGCAGGTCTCTGAACTGAACAACAGAGTGAGCCGAGTGCTGTGACTGCACCTTCAGTCCTAAGTAGTTTATCTGTCTGGCAGCTCCAAGGGAGGATACATAGCCAGACTCAGCCCTCCTCAAGTAGTTAACTTGAAGCATCTCCAGAGCAAGGGTGACTTGGCTGAGAGCAATAATAATTTCCCTCTGCTAAAATGATTAATCAGTCTTAAAATGCCAAGACCATTAAAAGGCACATAAGCCTTTTAAAATTTGGGGACAATGGGCCTTATCCTGGCAAAGATTTGAGGAAATTGCATTGATTCCAGTGCCGTTATCCACAGAAAATCTACTCATACTAGTAAAGTTTTGTTGGCTGGGCTTCCAATTTTTGTAGCTATAGTTTATTGCTGTAATTACACCTAGTGGTTTATCTAATAGAGTCATATTCTTATAAAGAAATTAAGACAATTAATGCTACTTTTAGCAATACGTAAAATGGAATTGAAATTCGACTAAGCTCTTCTTTTTATTTCCTAGTATCTGAATTACAGGAAGAAGGAATAAATGCCATTAACTTACCTCTCAGTCCAATTCCATTCGAATTAGACCCTGAGGATACTATGCTAGGTAATTCACAACAATTTTATATCTCAACATAAAAGCTTGATGTAAAATAAAGTGTTATGCCTGTAATGGTTTCTAATATCTTTCTTCTAAACCATCCAGAGGAAAATGAAGTCCGAACAATGATTGATCCAAATTCAAGAAATGACCCAAAATTACAAGAACTAATGAAGGTAACGAAAAGCATGTAAACACTTCCAAGAAAGTGAAATAATTTTTTAATGCTGTCCCTGCCTCTTTCATTTGAACACTTCAAAGCACTGTTTAGATATTAATTAAATGAAACCATGTGGTGCATACATCCCAGTGAAAAGGGCGGGTCATTTGTTGCAGTGACTTTCTCTAGATATGTCCCAGACATACTTAAAAGTTTTGATTAAAATCCTGAGTCCAGATTCTTAGTCCAATCCCACCCCTAATCTGAGATCACACTGACTTCCCTCATAGTCTTTGTGATTCTTGGGGTTAGAACTTTTGCAGGAAGCTTCATTACAATCAACTTCAACACTTCTTGTTTCACAGTAAAATGTTAAAGTCCTACTGAAAGCAAAGGACACATTTCCCTCCAGAAGGCACAGCATCAATCTGGTGTTTTTCTAGACCATGTGGTGCAGGGACACAGCTACCTTAGAAGAGTCCTTCCTAAGTCGTTCCTATTTTCTTCTGATGATATTTCAGACTGATTGGATTTTGAGCCATTGCAACTTTGCTATTCTTTCTGCTAAATATTTTCATCATTGTAAAAAATGACATGTGTTTTAAATTGCAAATGAATAGTGTATAATGCTGCCAATTTTGTGTTTCCCGTATAGGTATTAATTGACTGGATTAATGATGTGTTGGTAGGAGAGAGGATTATTGTGAAAGACTTGGCTGAAGACCTGTATGATGGACAAGTATTGCAGAAATTATTTGGTAAGAAAAAATATATGTGCATGCTGTTGGGGCACTTTGTCAGTAAGTGGATCACTTGTTCCTACTTAGGAGCCTTGGTATCATCTTACATTTATGCCACTAAGTGATACAAAAATAGCTTTGCATTATGAGACCCTTGAGCAATAGGCTGTACACACAATTCTTACAGCTACAGTGTAGTGTGTGGTGCTCTGTAGTTGATGAGAGCAGCAAAAAACCTACTTGGGGTGCTAGAGAGGGAGGGTTCCTGTCTTGGCAACAGTATTCACTCCAATCAAATTTATTATCTGCATATGGGCTGTACAAACTTAACCATATTACAAGTGGAAAGTAAGTTTGAAGGCAAGAGTATTTTCAGTACAACAGTGGATGTTTTTAATCTCTGCTGGTTCCATACTATAGTTTATTCACATTGTGAAGTTCCTCTGGAAAGTTGGAATTTTCTCTCTGGTTTGATGTCTGTCTTTTAATGTTACTGAAGTGCCGGTACCCAGTGGACTGCAAACTGAGCTTCAGCTGAGAAACAGAGAAAAGAAGCTGTTAATGCAGAGCTGGCATGTGCTTTTCTAACTTTTGGCTTGGAAGCCATTTTCTTAGTTATTACAGCTCATAAAGCCTCCAGTAAGTTTCTTTTCAGTAAATTAAATGAATCTTGAAACATCATATGAGCACTTCTAATAAAGACAACACAGACTGTTCCCTTCTATGAATGGTTAAGCTATTGAGTATATTGTGATGGACTGGATATGTACCAGACTGAGCACTTTGATTCTTATGGGCAGACCTCTAGTGACTTCATCCAAAACCCAAAAAATGTGTATCAGATACAGCCTGACTCTAAATATGTGTGTACTGATCCAGCACTTACTGACTTCAGCGGAATCTTTTCTATTGCCCTTAATTCCTTGTGGGTCATTTCTATGCTAACTGTAGACTTCAGTCTCGTTGTGAGACTATGCACAGGCTGATTTCTGTGGAGGCATATTCCCCTGGAGAGAGCAGTGTCTTAGGTAGGATTCCTAAACTGGTAGCTCAGGCACACTTTCTTTGGGAAGATACTTAGTTGGCTTTCATAACAAGATAGCTCCTGAGTCTGAGGGAGAAACTGGGAGGCTGAGACTGATGAAATGAATCTTCTTGAACTTGCAATGTTTCCTAGGTTTGAGGATTTGCTGTACAAATCACTTGCATACAAAATACCCCTTACCCAGTACAATAGAAGTGAGAGGCCTTACCTCCAATCTGGTGTTCCCTAAAGAGAGTTGCAGCAAATACTTGTTAGCCAGTTAATAAATAAAGGGAAAAAGTGAACTGTATCTTCAGGAGCTCAGAAGCATGAGGAGTATTGTCTCTGGAAGGAAAAGCAGACAATTTTAAAACTAGGAAGTCTAATGTCTCCTCTTGAATGTACATCTGGGTGTGGGAATATCTGTGTTCTTCGTGGAGTTGACAATGTTTTTTCTTCTGGTGGTTTGTTTTTTTTCTTTTCTATTATCACTTCAGAGAAACTTGAAAGTGAGAAGCTGAATGTTGCTGAAGTTACTCAGTCTGAAATTGCTCAGAAACAGAAGCTACAGACAGTACTTGAAAAGATCAATGAAACCCTTAAACTTCCTCCAAGAAGCATTAAATGGAATGTTGACTGTAAGTTGTGTGTTTTCTGTGTTGTTCTTATTTGTTGACAGCCAAGAGTTTATAGCTGCTATCTTGAATTCTGAAATACCCAGTGATAAGGGAAGGCCAAAACCTGGCATTTATGGTAGGAGCTGCTCTGTAGGGCACTTCCAGATATGGCACACCCTACCATCTTTATTGTGATTTAAATAAACTGTCTTTTCAGAGTTAGTTAAGTGTGGTATTTTTGCTCATAAGGCCACATGCTTACCATCTTATGTTTTGTGTTACTAAATTGGTTTCTTGAAACAGGAAAATACCTGCATAAATGTAGTAGATAGAAGGAGAATTAGGTCCTAGGACTCTTTATTTGTCTTAAAATTTGCAGCATAAATATGAATAATATTTCTGATCACTTAAGGCTAACGCTGAACCACTGATTTTCATTACAAAACTCTCAGTAAGATTAGGACAAGATAAAAAACTTCTGGGTTTATTCTATTGAAAATGAACATAGTAGATTCTAATAAAAATGGCCTTAGTGGCCCAACACAGGACATTTTAGTGCATGTGTTTTGCAGAAAGCAGGTTTTCAGCAGTTTTGGAAAATTAGGCTTCTTAGTCTGTTTTAAGTTTGGTATCCACAATCATTTCACACTGGTGAATACCTTGACCAGTATACAGCAGTGTCCCTGTCTCCTGTACCTGTCTTGAGCTGACCTGTTTTGTACCTCGTTCTCTTCACAACAAATTAGTAAGAGGGAGTGAAGTAGCTTGAGGGAGGAAGAGTGAACGTTAAGCATCTCTGACTTTCCCCTTTGTGTGGTCCCACTGAGTTTTCTGTGCCCATCTCTCTTCAACCTCCCCCCAGGTTTTTTCCATTCTCTGTTAGGCAGCTGGATGCAGGGTGTTTGGAGTGGCCTGACAATCTAACTTCTAGTTTCAATTTAATGTTTTACATGTGTTTTAGAGCTAAAGTAGAGATAGACAGCAGCAGCTGGAGCCAGCTGCGGCGCACACCAGTGCCGTGCAGACAGACACCTTTTTAGTGTTCTGCTAAAGCACCTCATCTGTGACCACTGGCACCCTAGCAAAACTTGACAGTGATTTTATATGAATGGGTATCTCCACAGCTTAGTTGGGACTTGGACTGGAAGGAAAGGAAGAAGGATATTTTAGTGGATCTGATCCTGCTTTACCAGTGAAGTAAGGTAGTAGTTAATGGTTAATTTAAGTACAAAAAACATTTGGTGCACTGTACTGTAGCTAGAAAAGATCATTTAGGAATACTACTGTGGGGAAGACTATAAATGCCAAAACAAAACAGAAGAAGAAAGGCGATAATAAAATTTAGAAATTATTCACTTTCATGCCAATGGTTCATGAAAGCCAATGACTTCATGAAAGATTTGCTAGAGTATGGCTTTTGATATCTTGTAAGACATGTTACTGTTCACTACCCATATGTAACCTGCTGTGAAAAAGCTTCAATAACAAAAACTACAACAACTTCATGAGGAATGTTTGAGTCATTGAGTTTAGTAAGTTATTGCCTAAAGCTTCTGCCAAAATAGGCTCGTTTATCATCCTGCAGACGTTGTGACACTTAAAAATGAAGAACTGCATGTTATGAGTACAAAAATATCTTTCTGATAGTCCATAAATCCTTATTGAAATAAAGGGAATAAAGAAAAGGCAAGGGGAATGCAGAGACAGCACTTAAACTGCCATACATGAAATCTGGCTTTTGGATTAGCTTCAGATTTCCATCTACACAAGCCTATGGCATCCAGACATGTTGCAAAAAGTAACACATTGGTGCTGGTGAGTATTACTGACTGGGCTGCCTTCGCGTGACCTGCTGAGCAGGAGACCAGTAAAGGAGATGTGCCTTAAAAGTGTCCCCTGCCTCCAGGTGGAAAGATGAAGACAGTCCTATAATCCCTACATCCTAAAAATTGAAACTTTGTGCCCTGGTTACTTTGCAGTTTTTAACTTGTGCTTCTATTATCTATTTCAGCTGTTCATGCTAAAAGTCTCGTAGCAATACTTCATCTTCTGGTTGCATTATCACAGTATTTTCGGGCACCAATCAGACTCCCAGATCATGTGTCCATTCAGGTGGTTGTTGTGCAGGTAAGAGAGGTGTTAAATAGCTCTTGGTAGTGTTGTGAAATTGACTAAGGAGGTTTCTTGAAATATACATGTGGAGTTTCTGTTTGGGTGAGCATGCGTGTATCTCCTTGGCTGACAAGAAACACACGTGCCTCATCCCTGCTGACAGTGCTTCGACCAGAAAAAGGCAGAAGTGCTTTCTCAGATTGAGCTGTGGCTCAGAATATCTTATTTTGGTTGTGAAGTGGCCAGATTCTGACATTAAAAATATATGAAGTGTTATTATTGTTGGAATGTGTTTGTTTATCGCTCAATATGATCTCTAGAATCATTATATTTTCCATTTTTGACAGTCTTCTGACTTGTGTATAGATTCAAATAATTCTTGGCACTGAATGATGAATTGTCACTGTTTATTACATCCAGATTCATGTTAGGTGACTAAATATTCATTTTCAGCCTTGTGCATGCTGATTTAGTCTGATTATAGTGTTGACTTACTTATAAACATGCAAAAAAATATATCAATTAAATCTTTTTTGTCAGTCCATCTCCTTATCCATCCAAACTCTTCATGTTATTAAGTTCATCATATTTATTTCAGTTGGACTTGTGCTTGCTCTGTCTTATATAGCCACTTGCCATTTAATTTTCTTTTCTTTCTCTCCAAATTACCTTTATTTTTCACACTATATCTGTGTTTATATATGTGTATTAACTGATGTTACTGTGAAGTATCTGATGCAAAGAGCTATTGCTCAAGTTCTGTGTAACTGAAAATCTCTGGGACAGATCTGAGAAAGTTACAACTCCTTTTTCCAGCATTCAAAACAGAAAACTTTTGTAATTTGGAGAGAAACCTGAAGTACAGTCTCTGGTATATTTATCACTGATGCCTGATAATGACTCATTGAATCTCAGATTCTGCCTTAGGAGTTTCTCCACAGACAATGAAAGAACCCCAGCAAATCTGGACTAACGTGTCTAGGGCTTCAGAGGAACATACTTTTCAAGCACTTCCTTTTGACAAGTATAAATATATTAATTACACTGGTTTATCTCAAAGTTCTACCAAAAACAGCTGAAGAAATGAGGAGTGCAGTGATCAGGGCATCCTTGGGATGAAAGACAAAACCAGACAATGAACACAGTTCTAAAATAAAGAATGACATCTTGCATTCTGTTGTCACTCCATACATCCAGACAAAATTCCTGTTGAAATCAATGGACATAATTGTCTTCTTGTTTAATAGGCTAATGTAGTTCAATAGCAAATCCACTGAAGTCAGTAGAGATAAACCAATTTAAAAGCAGTAAATAGTGGGAGACTGGCTCACTGCTTTGCCTCTTAGCTACACAGCAGTAGCTCAAGCACCAGTGAATTGCAGAGAAAGCAATTTCACCAGAATAAAAACCAAGTAACATTGCAGAAGAGCTATGCTGATTCCTATTAACAGAGGGTGGGGGACAGTATTCTTAGTGTAATTGTATTTGAGACATTTTTAATTTTTATTTTATGCTGGGTGGAGGTTTTATTTTTTAAATCTATCTTTCATATCTTGTGGGATTGATTCTGTATAATTCATCATGTAACCTTTGAACTCCATGAAATTTTTAATCGATAGTCAGCAGATCCTGAAGCCTAATTTCGGGTTCAAATTTGCATGCCTCATGTTCTAGACCCTCATACATTCTGTAAAGTAAGGTCATGCCTAGAGAAACTCAACAGACTTATGTAGTACCTTATTCTGTTCTGTACAGTTTGATAACGGGAACTGTAGAGAGACAGAAATAAAAGAATTAGGTCCTTTTGGAAAATCTTCAAGGAAAACTACCCTAATTCATTTAATGTTTTTGTAATATGAGGGTAATATGAAATCTGAGGTATAAGCTGATTTGGGTAAAAATGGGATAGTTGGACCTTTTGTAGCTATTTTGTTATGTTATTTCTTTTACTTCCATAATAATAGAATTATTAACTTTGAACAAATCACAGCCTTTGTTTGATCATTTCTACTGAAAAAAGTGAGAGCTTTGTGAGAAGCTGGATCTTAGCATCTTTTTTGCCTCTTTTAAAAAAAATATTCATTTATGCCATCCACAAATGGTTAAATGACAGATTGTGTGCAACAGTTATAAGTCAGAGAGTACAAGAATGCTTTGGCAGGGCAGTCAGAATGGCTTCAGCATATTCTGAGCACAGGAACAGCAATTTTTGGGTGCATAAGTGAATATTAAGCAAAGTTAGGAAGTTAATGAGATTAGAATAAGGTGTACATCACAAGCTTAATCTGAGATCAATCCTCCTGCTGCCTCTGGGAAAACCCTGGGAAGGTCAGAAATGTTTCTGAGCAGCATTGCATCCAGGTTCCCAAATATTTTTATAATGGCAGGTGCATTTGTCCTTTCCAGGCAGTTCTTTCCATAACTCCAGAATAGTTCTGAATTTCATCTTGATGGGGCAGTTATAAAACATGATTTTCCAGATGAAATAGTGGCCTTTAGTGGAGTCTTTCAGCTGGGAGGGAAGAGATGTCAAGCCTCTCCAAATAAAGTCTTCTGTGGTCACTGGAATGCACATCCAGCTCTTCTTTTTAATGCAGAATCTTAATCAATGGCTTGTTTCTCAGTAGCTTTTACATAGTAGATTTTAATTTTTATAATTTGTTATGATTTGTTGTTTCTCTTATAGCTACTCTTGTCTTTAAGGAGCATTGCTGGACTGACTCCCAGTGGCACTTCTTTGTATTTCTTGGAATATTGTGTCATTATCTGTCTAGTATAAAACAAACTTTACAACAGGTGACATAAATGTTGGGGTCAATTTTGTGGTTTTAAAGTGCAAAAGATGTATGGGAAGCAGTCTTCACAGAGAATGTGTTTGGACTAGTGTTGCTAAGGTGATAGGGTCCATTCTGATTGTTGCTGTTGGGACTTTTTATAACTCTGAAGCATAGGAAAGTATCTTGACATGTGCTGGTCAAATAAGTGTCCAACTTATAAGTCCAATGCATGTCATACTTGGGCAATGTGGAAATTCTATAGATGTAAGTGATCAGATGCCAGGCACAAAACTGGCTTTCCTTTTGTTGCTGTTGTCAACAATAGCATTAAGGTGCAGAATTCCTATTGATATTAATCGCAGTTTATCAAATCTGAGAAGTACAGTTGCCATTGCTATGGTGCTCAACTCCTTTAGGAGATAGGGATGTAGGGCTTTTGCTCCAGAAGGCATCATTGGCATGTCAGTCATGATTGGAGGGAAAGAAAAGTTTAATTTCACCCTGCAGCAAAGAGAAAAATAAACAAAAATCCCAGAGTAGAATTCTAACTTGAGCTAACTAGATTACAATTTCAAATGCAAGTACTTCTTGCTATCTGCACAAGCTGGAAGTGAAGATAGACCTAAATGTTGTAGTTCTTCAGACTTTCAAAATATGTGACAGATGTCTCAGCAGTTGTTCTGTGCCCCCTCTTCCAGTATGAAACACACTGGACTGCACTCTTGCCTTTCATAATGTTCAGAGGTTCTCCTTGAATGCATTTTTAACCATGTATTTAGTAACAGGGCTTAAAAAAACCAACACAAAACCACTGAAACTGTCATCTAGCTAAAAGGACCATTCAGATTACTCCAAGTGCCAGTCTGGAGTGACCCAGAGGGCGCCACATGTGGCTTTCTTGCAGAAAGAGGTTTGATCCTCATATTTTAGTATAGAAGTATAGACTGACCAAATCCTCATCATACCTTACACTGAGGACTACCTCGGGTGGGGATGTGCTGTCATCTCCAAGGCATGGAGCAGCAGCCCCAGTTCACATGCTATGAAGGACTTTTCCATGTAGAAGGCAAGTCTACGGCCAGCATAGATTTTTCTCATTTCCTTGTATGACAGGAAGTGTAGAATCATGACTAATTGCCTAATGTCTAGACTTCACATGCAGTTGTCAGTGCTTGCCTCACTTTTCTTTCTGCATTGCAAAATTTTACTAATTCCAGTGAATAGAATTAACAGAGAGAACACAGAGGCAAAACATATGTGTGGTATTTATACTGCCACCAGATGACTGTGATCAGCATCCTGGAAACAATGTCAATTTTTTGAACTCCTTCATTTTCCAACTGACTCTAATAGCAACCATTTGAGTAAGCTTCTGCCATTTTGTGTGCAGCTTCTAGACACAGGCCACTCACCACCACGTATAAAGGGCTTCTCACATCTGAAGAACACTCCAGTCAATGCATTTATTAACATCAAGATGACTGGGGTCTGGGTCAGGCTATTATGCTCCATTTTGATTTTCCATCACAAGCAAATAGAACTCATTATGTGAAGAAAAGCCAGAAAAGGAAAACACAGAGGAAAAAAAAAGCAAGTGTATGAGCAGGGCAGAAGGAACAGGTATCCTGGGAGCAAGATTTTTGCAAAAGAAAAGCATGGGCACCATCTACCAAGCTGTTCATTGAAATACAAGGTTTAAATCAAATCACCTAGACATACCTCTACTAAAATACTTACGTATGTGTTTAGGTGTTTCAAATGACTTGCTGAATTGAGGCCTTTAAAAGAAAAATGAATTAAGAACAATTGAGAAAGGGAAATAAATACTTCCTTCTACAGGTGGAGTTTCAAGTTTCTTGTTAACGTACAGAAGAGTTTTCTGAAATACTTGCAAGGTGAAATAATATGTTAATGTAAGTTTGTTTTTAAAGAGTTCTTATTTTGCTGGTTTCTTATCTAATTATGTTTGTGGATCACAAATAATTTTTTACTTTACCGTAAGCATTAAACTTGACTGAGAAAAATGTGGCTTTTTTTTCTTTTTTTTTCCAGAAAAGAGAAGGAATCCTCCAGTCTCGACAAATCCAAGAGGAAATAACTGGTAACACTGAGTATGTCAACACCACTTTTGCCAGCGGT